GGTACACAGGTGTATGAAAACCAGACAGCTGCTTGATGACTACGGGAACAGCGGAGAGGCCCATGTGTCCAGTGCCAGAGGCTGGAGACAAGGACAAACAAGGAAATAGGTTAGAGCAGCAAGCAGAGCACCAAGTAGGGAGCCTTGGGGCCTCTCTCCTAGACCTATGGGTCACTGTAAGGATTAGGTTTTCACTGTGCATGAAATAGGATCGTGCAATAGATTGAGACTTAAATGTAACCCCAAGGCCTATGCATCGGAGGCTTGGTCCCCAGGGTGACGCTACTGGAAGGTGATGAAACCTTCATCAGGTGTGGCCTGGTGGGAGGCCTTTAGGTCAGTGAAGGTATCCCCCACAGTAGATAGTGGAACTCTAGTCTCTTCTCTAGTCTTCTTCTTCCTTGTGCTTCCTGAGACTGAGGTAAAGAGTTTTGCTCCAGCATGTGGTCCCACCGTGACGTGCTGCCTCACTACAGACCACCCCAAAGCAACAGGACCAACCAGTCATGGTCTAACCTCCAGAACTAAAATAAGCTCTCTTCCTTATTAGTTATCTATTTGTTGTGGTAATAGAAACCTAACTAACAGATAACTTTGGAAGATTTTGACTAGAGAGTGATATTATCTTACAAATTATTAGAATCACAGCGCCCTACTTGTTGAGAACAGACATCTGGAAAAAGGACAATTGTCAGTGGACTGTCCCAATAATCCACTTGAGAGATGGTGGTGACTTGGGCCATGGTGACAGGAGATTGGCTGTGAAATCTGAGAGAAAGTTAAGCATCAAAGATGACCTCAAATGGGCCAGGAATTTAGCTCAGTGGTGCCGCCATCTGCATTGAAAGCACAAGGTCCCAAGTTTGATCCCTGGTAGCAAAAAAAAAAAGATAACCTCAAGAACTTTGGGCTGAGCAACTGGAAGACACAGGAGCTGTTAACTGTGAAAGGAAAGCTGGGGATGTAGAAGGTGGGGATGAGGGGTTTCATTTTAGACCTGTTGGATTTAAAATATCTATTACTGACAATCCAAATCAAGTTGTTCAATAGTCAGCTGGGGTCATGAAGCAAAGTTCCACAGCTCTCTTCCATCCCCGAGTTGGAGGTGTCCATTTGGGAATTAGCAGAGAGGTAGAATCAGAAGCCAAGAAGCTGAGTGAGATTACATAGAGACAGGCAAATATTGAAAATATTGACAACATCAGATATTGACAGAGGTACAAGAAACACATATTCTTCTACACTCCTCATCTAAATAAGGGTAACCCTTTTAGAAAGCAATGAGCAAAAAGTATCCAAATTCAAATATGTGTGGCTTTTATCCAACAATTCCATTTCTAGAGATCATTTTAAGAAAGGAACCAAGCAGGTGAATAAAAATAAGTATGCTTATGTCATTAGTTATTACAGTGAAAAGCTAGAAATAACCTGAATGTCCAACAAAATGGAGTTCATTGGTATGACACATAAACAATTAATATTATGAGGCTGCTTCAAACTTTAAGTATAAAGATTTGTATTCTGGTGTGCTGTAGTTTCTATAATTTATAAATACTTTAGCAAATCCAATGTGATATACATTACAAAGTTGTGGGGTTTTTTCCTTTATATTGGGCTACACTTTAGGAGGTATCAATTGTTGTAATCAGGAATTCACACCTAGAGTGGTCAACCAGCATTTTATCAAGGAGGCACCGCTCCAGAGGCCACTGCTAAAAGCCCTTCTATAATTCACATCTCTAATCAACAAGAAAGGTTTTGCTAATTAGCATACTGAATTTCAGAAATGGGTTTTCATCGGGGAAACTAATGGGGTATTAATGAGCATAATGGATATTAGAAATGGGCAATCACTGATGAAATTTGTGGAATTCAAAATTTGTGAATCTGTTAAAATATTTTAGAGACACTTTCCTTGCATGGTCTCGGGAAGAAATTATTTAGAGAACCCTGCGTCCTGTACATTTGAGGGTGTTCTGTAAGCCTTAATCCCTAGCAGTCGTATATCTAACAACCACTTTAAATGTTTCCCGTTGCCTACTGTCCTCTACAAGAGTATGGAAGTCCGTGGTTATGGAGGGAGTGCTTAAATCCATTACAGGACTTCAAGTAATGTAGAGAACAAGTTAAATATATTGCTTTTCTAATTGTTATTTTTTGAGTCAAATGTAGTAGAATTAGTTCTGAAGTCCACTTTTATTATGACCTGGGGTCAGGCTTTTGAAGCGTAGCTAGCATTCACCCCTCTCACTTCTCACATGGCTAGTTTTTCACCCAAAAGAATCTTATGATCGTGTGGGTGTGCTGATTAATCCTACTGTCAAATTTGCCTGGAACAAGAGGATCCTGGAGAGGTGATTGGATTGTGAGGACACCAACTTCATCTGTGAGTGAAGCTACTGGTGAGTTAGTTCATAGCTGAATGGGCTGTTAGGAAGTAGGTCATGATAGGGTGTGACCTTGGGGGCTACAGCTGGTCCTGGCCCCTTACTCTTGAGGTTTTTCCAACCCACTCTGTTTCATGCCTGCCATGAGTTAAGCAACTTTCTTCCACCATGCCTTTCTATCACATCTTAGAGCCAGCGAACCATGGACTGAAATCTCTGAAACTATGAGCTAAAATAAAACTCTCTTCCCTTACATTGTGACTTTGGGTATTTTGTTCCAACAATGGAAACACTGACCAATACAGTAAGGCTCAGGCAAACAGCTGCCAAGAAGGCAACTCAGACACAGAAATGAGACAGTGAGGCACACATCTGTATACTGGGGGACAGGGTCCTTGAGGTAGAAAAAGAAAGGGGTGATACTTGGGTTCGACTGCTATAATGGGGGGGGGGTTAAACCTAAAAATTGTCTTGTAAAAGTTGAAGTAAAAATAGAATTTGTAGAATATGGGTAAAGTTGAGTGAAAAAATATCCAGAAAATTCTGCCAATCTAACCAGCTGAGAATTAAAATTTCACTCTATTCCTACCTGCAGTACACCTTTTTTGTTCTTCTTTTTAATAGGATTTGAGACCTAAATTACCTAGAAAATTGCTTCTACTGTTTTTTTTTTTCATGATCAATCATCCTATTCTAAGTGACCAAATAGATTTGGATATCCACAAATTTTGAAAATACTAAGACATTATTTTAGGTTTTTCAAATTACTAGCATTTTATCTCAATTCCTGAATCTGCCTTTCCCCTTCCTCTCCCTCCCTTCCCAGAATGAGGCAGTTCTTCTTTGACTTTCTTCTCTATTGCTGTCTCCTTAAGGAGGAATCCTTTATTTATTCTGGTTCTATTCTTTATCAACCCTAGGTACTCAAAGAAAATAATAGCAAATCAAGAAATGGCCCACTAAAGAGACTGATGTCTCAAGATATCTACATGGAGTGATCCCAACACAACAGAAAAGGCAGGTATATAAAGCCACGCCCAAACATGTCTTCAATGAAGAGTGGAAAAAAAAATAATCAAATCATGTTTTCCCAAATCCTTTTCTCTGGCTTTAAATAAGTGGTACAGAAACAGATAGAGGAGGGAAGACTAAAACACAAAGCCCAAGAAAGCAAGCCTTACAGGATCTTGACAAGAATGTCACAAAGCACCAGTTCCTTTTCAAACAGCATTTTTTAAAAATACTGTTTCGTTTTAAACTCACCAATCCCTCTCTGGATGAACATATGTTACCATGTAGATTAATCCCTTTTGAAAATATCCACTGCCCTACAAAGCAGCAGGAAAAGGAAAATTGCTGGCGGGGGGTAGGCCATAAGACATGAGATGCCTGACCCTTTTAACTGCCTTAAGTGGCTGCCTATTTCCTTTCCTGTATCTTTTTTCCCCTCCTGCTGCTATTACTGTTGTTTCTGCTTTGCAAGGACATGTCATTTTACTTACCATTCTCTCTCTCCCCCTTTTAATTGGCCTGCAATAAAAATACAAATTGCACCACTATACTTTATTATTAGTCATTTGATGGGCCAAAAAATGCCTCATAAGTATTGCCTAGAGGGTATTAATCAGACCTGCTGACTCTCCTAAGCACCCACTTTTACATCCTGACTCCTAGATGAGGCTAGTGGGTGGTGATCACAGCCCCCTCCCCTGGGAGCAGTTAGCTGGTGGCTGCCTCTCCATTAACAAAGGCACAACCGAAAGGTGTGGTGTCCGACCTACATGAGCCAAGCACACAGCCCAAACCTCTCCTCTGTCCATTAGCTTTAATACCTGTTGTATTTTATGGACATGAAAAGTCTCTCTCATTTTCCCCCCTCTCTCTAGGTACCAGAGTGAATGTCTGAATTTTTAAACAGCAGCTAAGCTTCATAATTTGCTTGAAAGTCTCATGGCTTGGCAAGGACAGCTTCCTCTCTTGGAAGCAAAATCTGGGAAAATGGTGGTCCAAGAGAGAATAATGCAACAGTGAGGTTTCAGGCAGATAAACTTTAGGGAGACAACCACAGGGGGTATCACTGGCTCTGCTGCTTCTGCACCTACATATCACGCTGTGTCTCAATACAGACTATGCCCTGAAAACGGGGATAAAACAGATTTGTGGTGAGATTTCAGTTTCACAAAGCTCTGCTCTTTGTATAAAACTCATCACCAACTTTCTGCTATCAGACATCTTGGGATTCACCACACTGGTATCTGCTCTGAACATCAAAATGGAGAAAACGGGTAAAATGTTTTCCGCAAAATAAAACTAATAAATTGGTAGAAGAAATAAGCCAATAACAACATATTCTGTCTTAACTTATTCATTCAGTAACTTAGAAAGAGTGCCCCAAAACTATCTCATTTATTACTTAGCTTATTGGTATATGCCCAAAACTCACTGTGGACTATGACAGAACTCCCATTTCATGTGTACTTTATCAGATTAATACGCCATTTGTTGGTTGGTCCAAGGTTCTGTTTTCCCTGCCAGGTGCCATCTCATCAGATTTCTATTTTCTTTTGTAAGTGTACTTGACTTTCAAGCTTTTGTGACCGTAACAACATTTAGGAGGCTGTTCCAGCTTCCAAGAGAGATTTCAACTGCAATACATTCAATGTATCAGATTAGAGATTTTTCCAACACAGTTCTTGCTTTCTGATGTCACTGTGGTTTCCGCTTACACCTCACAAGCACATGCAGCCCTTGTCAGTGTTTCTCCCCATCCTATGCTCAGGGTTCTTCTGTTCAGGGTTCTTCCTCCAGTGTATGTAAGGACACTGGAAATTTCAGGCCCCATTCCTTTCAGAAGGGAACCTTCTCTCAGACAATGATGCCAAAGACCAGAGGTCTGGGAATGGAACTCTTGGAAACATTGACATTTAAACTCACAAAGACATTAAGAAGGAGCAGTGAGGGGGAGTAAAAGCCAAAAGAAGTTTAAAAAACACCCTGGTGATGAGGAAAATACCAGCTCTTCTTCTAGCCTCCCTGGGTTTCATCCTTAGCAATGGAAAAGGAAAGGAAAAAAAGAACAAAGAAAAAAAGTTAAGAAGATCATGAGTCTATGAGGAAGGCTAGGAGAAAAATAAGGAGTAGACCATAACCAAAACCAAGGGAGACTCCAAAGAAAAAGAGAAGCAGTGATCAATGGCTGTGTACTGGGCAGTTTGGCTAGGAACCACTTGCAGCTGGACCCAATGATTGCTATCTTCCTTATAAATATCCTAACATCTCACACAGTGCTAGATGGATCAGTGGTCCCCAACATTTTTGGCACCAGGGACTAGTTCCATGGAAGATAATTTTCCCACAGTTACGGGGAAGGGAGTTTAGAGGTGAATCAAAGGAGCAGGCAATCTAGATCTCTCACATGCATAGCTCACTGTAAGGTTCGTGTTCCTGTGAGAATCCAATGCCACAGGCAGTAAAGGAAGCAGTGGGAAGCAGCTGTAAATACAGGTGAAGTTTTACAGGCTTGTTCACCTACCAGTGTGTGACCCAGTCCCCAATAGGCCACAGACTGGTACCAGTCCAAGCCCAGGGATTGGGGACACCTGAGATGGATGGGTAGACAGGCAACTAGACAGAATAGATAATAAGTGTTAAGTAGTTTCAAGTTTATTTCTATGTATTTTTCCACCTGAAACACAGAAAATAGCATTTTTAAATGGCACTCATGGTGTGGCTGCTGCTGTCGATAGGGACCTTGGTAAAATACGACATCTGTGATGTTTGTTCAAGGCACAGAGTGTCCCACAGAGGTGGTGAGTGGACGGTAAGTTAAGGAAATAAGACTAGAGCGCTGACTTTCCAATGACTATGAAGTAACCTATCACCCTTTTGAGCCTCAGTTTCTATCATAGTAAAACTTAGGGGTAGGTCTGTATTTTTTCTAATTCTAAAATACTGGGAAAACCATTTTTATTGTTTTTCTACACTTAAGCCTTACCTTTACCAATGCAAGCAAAAATGTTTCTTTGAACAGCAGGTCTCCCTGACCACTTCTTCTGTGCTCTGTCTGTACCTCCTCCTCACATGAGCTTGTCCTTCTAGAAATGCCCATTTGCTCTAGTCATTCCTGCAGTGCAGCTGGTCTCAATGGAGTGTTACAAGGGAAAGAAAAGGTTATTTGACTGATTCTATTTTCACCCAGTACAGTAGGTTAGTGTGACATTTACCTTCTAGACACCCCCAGGGATGCACTCTGTAGCCCGTACTCTTACCTGTAGGATTCACATCAACTGAGGTCCTGTGCCCTCTGGCCAATGAGAACACCAGCAGGAAATCAGAGAAGGAAGAAAAAAGTATAAGGTCAAGGCATGATGACCATAGCTGCTTCCCTGGGAGCATTCCTGGAGATAACCAATATCTTAATTGGAGGTCACTGCTCCTCTCTCCTGGGGCATACTCTACAAAGCTCTTCCTTCTGATAGACGTGGTAACCAGTACTGTAACCTCTCTTCCTCAACATCTTGCCAGCCTTGGAGTAATAAAGCTCAATTGTCGCAACTCCAGCTTCCTGAACGATTGGCCTATGCATCACTCCTTCAGAAATAAACTGCCTTAAATTGTCCTTGAATTATCACAGTTGGAGTGTTTTATTTGTTTCCTATTAAGACCTCAATATATATATACACAGAAGCATCACTAAGGTTTTTGGAAGGAACAAACGAAACTAGTTGTTCATGACAATTAACCTCTAGTTGGTAACGTGAGGCCTACAGTTTTATTTCTTTAAAGCTGTGGTTTTCTCCTTGGTTCTCTGGTCTGTTCATAGATCAACCCAGTGCCCTTCACGTTCCTACCTCTTCTGAAAGGTTGTGATCCTTAACCTGTATCTATCCACACCTTGGTCAGAATTTACTAGGATTGAGTACACACCTAAGGTCTAACATGAATTCAAGGCTAATTTACCATACTAATATGAATCCTCAAAAATCCACAGCGTGGAAGAACAACATGTATTGTTTCCTCCATCTGTCTTGAATTATCAATTTCAAACAGCCTCAAAGGATAGACCCTCCTATTGACCTCTCATGAGAAGTTCCTCTTAGAATGTAAACACCCCAAAGCATCCAGCATCAGAGTCCATTACCTGACTTGAAAGTCCAAATAAGGAATGGCTGGACTAAGCCAGGAAAAGATGCTAAACCAGTTAGATTTAGACATCCTCCTAATACATTCTAACTCCAGTAGAAATGGCTTTCGAGGAAGTTACACCATCTACTTGACATGTCTTTTTATATTGTGTTACAGGTTTTTTTTTTTCTTGACCTGATTTTGTAATCACTTTGCTTAGCAAGCACCATATTTGGAAGTCTGGGGGTTTCTGTTCCACAGCAGCTCCCGAAAATAGAGATGTTCTTCTTATTCAGATACAGCAAATGTCTAATTCCTACCTCTAAATAGTCTAGGTTAATTACCTCATTTAATATCCTACAGCAGCAAATTCTACAGCCTAATTTGATGTCACACTAGAAAAAAAAAATCTCTTTGTGTGAAATTGGGCCTCTAAGTTAGACTAGAGGGGAAAGAAGGTAAGTGTTAGCATTCGCCTCATTCCCAGAAAAAATGTCATCTTGGTTAACAGCCTGGAGGAAAAGGAAGTGTGTCTCACTCCCCTCTTCATGAGGCCCATCCAACATGTATGTATCATCAAGCAAAAATGCTGGCTCTGTGAAGCAGACAGAGAAGCTTGTATCTCTGTATATAAATCACGTCTCTTTCCTGTGACAAGTCATGTCCAGACAAAGCTTATTACAAATTCAGTTTGAAATCTCGAGAAGAAATAGAAAAAAAAAAATAACAACAGCTTTATGGAGCTATAGTCAGGAAATGACTTGAACTCATCCCAATTTTAAAGTTCCATTCTATACAGCAAGCAGCTAAAACCCCATTTTCTCAGGGAACTGCCCTTACAGGGAAGGTGTGGCAAAGCCATCTGCTGCTTTATAGTACTGGTTTTCAGCCTTGTTTTTCTGGTCCAGCTATAAAATTGCACTAATCACAGAAACAGACTGTTTGGCCAGGAAGTAGTGTTTGCCAGATACAAGTGAATTTAAGCCCACATGTATTGAAGCTGCAAGCTTAGTTTGCAATTTATGTGCAAGTGGTTTTGTATTTATTGATCTGGGCCGAGTGCAGGTCCTATAGGGGAAATATGACAGATTTCATCTGTCTGACAGCCAACTCTAATTGTATTTTCAATCTGAAATGACTAAAGACAAAAGTGCACATGTCGAGGGTCTTCACTCTGGTGCCATATGGAGTATTAGATACAGGACTGTGGTCACTGCAAGCGTTCATTTTAATAACAAGGCGCACACTGCATCCTGAGCAGCTAAAGCAAAAGAGGTGAGTTTTTAATGCAAATCTGAATTAATAGACCATCTGATGCTGCCGGAATGTGGGTGAGCCATTTGAAAGAATGCCTTTTATAGACATGATTGGGGGAATTAAAAAGTTGTGTCATCTATCATTGATTCATCTGGACCATGAAACTAACAAGCCAAAAGTCAAATACTTCCCACAATGGCTGTCACTAAAATTATATCCAATACTTCTGGGAAGGCCTGCCATCTTAAAAATCAAAAAGCATCTTCTGTAACCTTACTCTCTGGTTGTGAAGACTAACTGTGCCTGTCAGAATGGTGAGCTATAATTTCTCTGTGAATCTCTCTATCTCTTTGTGTATCCTCTCTCTCTCTCTCTCTCTCTCTCTCTCTCTCTCTCTCTCAATTAAAAGTCATCATATAGCTAGAAGTAGTCAACAATGAAACACATCTCAAAAGAACATCACCTAATACCCCAGTGGTCCACAGGCTGTAATCTAAAAAAAAAAAAAAATGTCATGCAAGAGTTTTCATGCAAGTCTCTGAATTCTGATTGTGCATGCTCTTCAGCACTGAAGATCCCTTCTCTTTCTTGGCTCAGGTGGTTTCTCCTCTCTTCAGCCATTCTTTTTGCTTTGCTTCCAAGAGCAGCTGCCCTTCTCCTTACTGTGCACATTACGAGAGGGCCATTTGCTGGCTGAGTTTGGACACATGGCCTAACATTCCTAACTTAGTATTTATTCTCTTTTTAAAATGATATTAATACCATCACAATGAAGAGAAAATATGGAGGGCTATTACAAGGATTAAAATAATTAGCATACAATAAGAAAGAAAATGTACCCTCACCCCTGGTCAGAGTAGGAGCTCAGAGAATGACAGCATACCTCCCCTCTTCCCTGCTATCTTTAGACTCTCTCAAAGAAGTCTCTTGTGTTCATCCCTGCAGCTCCCACCTGAGCTGCAGCTCCAGAGGCACATCTGCAACCTCAACTCCTCACATATTATTCATCTAATATCTGTCACTCTACTGTCATCCCATGTTTTGCCAAATCCCAGGACTTCACTGTTCTATCAGTGCCCCAAGTTGAACATAACATAGCTCATTGTTCATTCTGTCTCCACCTGACCATGCTGTCAGCAGTTCTGCAGGCTTAACCTGCTCTAGCTCCCTTCCCAGCCTCCTGTCCCATGGAATCACTCTCCTCCTGCTCTTTCTATGTCAGCCCCCTCAGATCACTGAGCTGCTTTCTTCCTCTTCAAGCCACTCAGTCTCCGGAGATCTGCCACATCTCACAACCTTTCAGATCCATCCCTCTCCTCCACTCTTGGGGTGGCCCTGCCCCTACTCAGATCTGCATTTGCCAGTTTTCCCTTCCCTCTTGTTGGCCCCTAAGTTGGAGCAGCCTTGCCTACTCTGTGAATTTCCTACTGCTGTAGAAAACACTGCCACAAATTTAGTTGCTTCAAATAACACTAATTCATTATAGTTCTGGAGATCAAAAATTGGAAATGGGTTTCATGGGGCTAAAAGCACAGCGTTGGCAGGGCTATGCCTTCTAGAGGCTCTGCAGCAGGACCTGTTTCCTTGCCTGTAGCTTCAGCTTCTAGAGGCCACCTGCATTTTTTGGTTTCCTTTCTTCATCCTCAAAGCCAAGAGTGTAGCATTTCAAATTTTCTCACTCTCTCCCTCCCTCCCTCCCTCCTTCCTTCTTTCACTTATAAGGAGCCTTACTTTCCCCTCCATATCCCTACCTCTACCCAACATCCACCTGTCAATCTCCAAAGAGGAGGAAGGAGATTGAAGTTTGAATTATAAAAACTCATGAATAATGAGATTGGAAGATCTTCCAGGTGAAAACATGAGGACACGGGACACTCTTCACATCCCCAAATCATACCCTATGCTATATATATATCGCATCTATCTAAATGTTCTTGAGTTGTATCCATCATAACAAACCAGTAATGGTAAAGTGCCTTGCTGAGTTCCATTATTCATCCTAGTAAATTATCCAAGCTGAGGAAAGGGTGCTGTTGGAATCTCTGAATTCATACCTGGTCAGTCAGAAGTACAATTGGGCCCTGGGAATTCTGAATGACCTCTGAAGTTGGGACAGCATTGTGGAACTAAGCCTCACACATGGGCAATCAGAGAAAAGTCTAGAAATTAGTGTTAGAACTGAATTATTGGACACCCACTGGTGTCACAGAACTGGAGAATTGCTTGCTTCTGAAAAGGACACCATCTATTTAGCCATCAGCAAGTGTCTTGGTTGGCTTTCCATTCCTGAGATGATTGGAAGAAGTTTGTTTGAGTGCACAGATTGAGATGGCTAGCTCCAAGTCAGGAACAACATGGCAGAAGATCATGGTGAAGCAAAACTGCTGGCTTTGTGGCAACCAAGCACAGGGGAAGAATGTGGAGCGGAAGAGACTAGGAAATAGATGCAATCCCCAAGGTCATGCTCCATGATGTGCTGCCTCCAAGTAGGCCTCCCCTCCTAATAAACAGTCCACACATCTATGAACTTAGCACTAATATTCCAATAATCTCTCCAGGAGTTGCTTAATCTGCGTAAGTTGGCGACTGAAATTAACCAGCACCTAGAGAAATCAGAGAGATGGGAATAAAACTAGAGATGGAAGGCAATAACATCCTGGGCTGAAAGACTGGGGCCCCACAAGTACCAAGAACTATTGCTCTCAAGAAGTCCTGCAATGGAGGTTGGCAAGTGAGGTTCTTGAATGCCAGCTCAGGAATGGATATTTTCCAATAGTTTTGACTATTAGCAAGAAATAGCTTGGAAATTTTTCTCTTATCACAAAGGAAACTTCTGGTAAAGAAGCAATGATAGCAGATGTATAAATATATGTATACATCAAGTAAGAAACCACACACATCAATATTAGTAATCGGCATTAGTG